ACTGAGGATTAGTTATATCTTTGATTTAATTGGACTTTCTGAGTTAGCCTAAAAGATACAGGTGGTTAGGACAGTTAGTAAAGATGATTAGGGACACGATTTAAGTTATTCTGCCAATTGCTCCAATAAAAGATACAAAAAAAAGAGACAAATATGTTCTAGAAGTTACCTTCTCCTTTTGAGATATGAAATTTGCAGAGGACGGAAAATAAGAACAAGGAAAGTTTCACGCATTACAGGCCCATGAATTCTGCCTGGGGAAAAACAAGTTGATGATCAAAGAAAGCAATTATGTCCCTACACCCAAGGTTAGGCCCGAGTTCCTTGGTCATGTAACTTACAGAATTAATCACAGGCTCTGGTATGTGCCTTGAAAAAACAAAGTTGTAAAAAGAAATTAAATGACTCTATTGTGTGTAAAGAAAAATAGATGGTTAGCTGGCCACTCGTTTAGAGTTTCTCTAGAGTAGGATTAAGACTAGAAATCTACACTGAAACCACAAACAGTTGCCTGTCAGTACAAACGAACCAGCTGAAATACACTGAGCTTGCTTAAAACTTTGTTAATCAGCAATAAAAGAATCATTGCTTTGGGATGAAAATGTATGGTGAGAAAATTAATACTAAGAAAGATGTTAAACTACTTGTGGGCTTCTAAGGAAAACATACAACTTATGAACTCAATATGATTTCTTCTTATGTAGATATTAATTTGTTTTTGGAAAATATGTAACTTGTAGTTTTGAGGTAATTTTTTTCTCAAATAGAAATCTTTATCTTAGGAGCTACAAAAGGAATAAGGGAAAAAATGTAAGACAACAGAGAGAACACCCAACAGAGAGAAAAAATAAAATGAAGAATTAAGCTTTGATCCTCAGAAAAAAGTCTCCTGTGTGTGTGTGTGTGTGTGTGTGTGTGTGTGTGTGTGCATTTCAGCCAATGCCACACACCCTTTCCAGTTTCTCTGAGCTGACGAAAGCTGGTCCTCTAGGAGCATACATGAAGCCTTTATAGTTTCGTCTGCTGAGGAAAACAGTGATTCAAACCAATATTCCATCCCTGGAGGAATTGCACCATCAGGGACTTGAAAGATGCATGGGTGGTGGTTCCCACGTCTCCCTTCAGCTCTCCTATCCGGCTAGTGCAGATGACAGATGGCTCATGGAGAAGGACAGTTGACTACCAAAAACTCAGTCAAGCAGGGACTCCAGCTACGGCTGTGTACCAGATGCGGTGTCCTTACTTGAGTAGATTAACACATCTCCAGGACCAACAGAAGCAATTTGCTTTCAGTTGGCAAGGCCAGCAGTATACCTTTACAGATAACTCAAGTATATATTAACTCTCCATCCCCCGGGGGCCTGGCTCAGGAGCAGGCTCTTCAACAGGTCCAGGCTGCTGTGCAGGCTGCTGTACCACATGGACCATGTGACCCGGCAGGCCCTATGGTACTTGAGGTGTCAGGGGCAGACGGCGATGCTGTTTGGACCTTTGGCAAGCTCCTACGAGCGGACCACACGAGAGACCTTTGGGATTTTGGAGCACGGCTCTGCCATCATCTTCGGACAACAACTCTTCTCCCTTTGACAGACAGCTCTTGGCTTGCTATGGGGCCTTTTCATGATATGTGAGTTAGAAGAAAGGGAAAACGCAAACTGATGTGAGCTTCTGGTCCTTTGTCTTTATAAACTCGAGATACGACTGCTCCTCGGTATGGGAGGTTTCACTGTAGAAGAGGGAGGGAGGATAGTCAGAGGCATTTGGAAGAGCAGGCAGATAAGGAAGTAGACTGAGCATGGCCAGTGGGCTGGACATGGCTGGGCCTATCAGCAAGAGAGGGGAGACTGGCCGGGACTAGAGAACCGTGAGAATAGCAGGATCAGGAGCCGGAGCGTGGTAAGAATAGCGGTGTTAAAAGAAGGGTGAGTAGCTGCGGGGAGGAAAGGGCCAGGAGACTGGTGTGGGCTTTGAAATTGTGAGTAGAGGCAGAGGGAGCCTGAAGGCAATCATGGACCTTGATATGCTGATGGGCACCCAGGTATACATTAATTGGAGAGCCATATGTCCCTTTTGCAGGAGGTAAGGGAACCAAATCCTTTTGGTAGCCAGACTCGCTTCACAAGTCCCTGAGGAATGCTGGCTTTTATTTAACTGCCAGAAATCCTCCTACAGTCCACTCTGGGCTCATGTGCGGATATTTGAACTGCCTTTTGGAATTTGGAGAACTGGAGTTTCCTTTGGTCTTGACATTGTCTCTACCCCCTAGTACTAGGATTACAGGTGTAATCCAGTAATATCCAGGTATAATCATTGCATATGTTTTTTTGCGATATTGGGGATTTAAATTCACAGCTTCTGTGCCTGCTGGCCACTCTACGAACTGAGGTATATCCCCGGCCCATATAGCATCACGTGTGTGTGTGTGTGTGTGTGTGTGTGTGTGTGTGTGTGTGTAAGAGAGAGGGGGGGGTCTATGTAGCCCTGGATGGCCTGTACCTCATCATGTAGAGCAGGTTGGCCTCAAATTCATGGAAACCCACCTGCCTCTGCCTCCCAAGTGCTGAGATTAAAAGTGTGTGTCATCAACAGTCCATGTTGGGCTCAAACTCAAGAGATCCACCTGCCTCTACCTCCTGAGGGCTCGGATTAAAGGCACATGCCACTATCACCTGGGTTGAGCCTCACTTTAATGATGAAAACCTGAGATACTATTGAAATTATGAATGATTTCAGGTTGTCAACTAAGCCTGCATAAGAAATACGAACAACTCCCACAGTTTGAGGCAGCAGATCAAGGAAGCTGCGAGTGAGTTTAATCCCTTGCCTTTGCTAAGCGGGCTTCGAGAGGCGCTGGTGCACTGTAGAGGTGGTCATTGCTCCTGAGGCCCACCGTTCGTTGCTCCCTTTCTGAGCAACCCAAGGGATCACGTCTAAGGTTTTCGTCATGTGGATTTTGCTGTGCCTCCTAGGATGGCATTCACAGTGTCATCCCTGCCTCCTGACTTTAGATTTGACCATGCAAATTATGTTGAACAATAGACTATGGAGGGGAGGGGACCATGGCTAGACCTGAACAGAAGCTTTAAAAAATGTCCCATGTTCACTTCTCTGGGAGTGTGGCTCTGTCATGGGAACATTGTGCTCTGAGCAATGACCACTCCTTTAGCCTAGGTCCCGCAGAAAGGCACACAGCTGTGCCCATCTGAGTCAAGAATTTTAAAATTCTGTTTTCCACATGTCAACATTCTTATTAATACAGCTTAATTTGAAAATGTCTGACCACAGGCATGCTCATTATTTCCCTTTGGAATTGTTGAAGTCAGAGGGGAAAAATTAAATTTATTTTGAATACAGACCATTGAAAAGTATTCACTTCATGTGGTCTTGAGTGTTTATATCCAAAGCCCTTCTTCTCTTTGAATGAAGTTCTAAGATCCGTTCAAGATTCCTTTTAGCCGGGCGGTGGTGGCACATGCCTTTAGTCCCAGCACTCAGGAGGCAGAGGCAGGTGTGAGTTTGAGACCAGCTTGATCTACAAGAGCTAGTTCCAGGACAGCCTCCAAAGCCACAGAGAAACCCTGTCTTGAAAAACAAAAATAAACAAAACAAAAAGATTCCTTTTAACAAGGAAAATGCTAGTGGGACGTTGGTGAAGCATGCCTTTAAACCCAGCACTCGGGAGGCAGAGGCAGGCAGGTCTCTGTGAGTTCAAGGTCAGCCTGGTCTACAGAGCAATTTCCAGGACAGCCTCCAAAACAATACAGAGAAACCCTGTCTTGAAAAACAAAACAAACAAACAAACAACAAAAAACAAAAACGAGGAAAAGGCTAAACCCTACAAAGCCAGCCATCTATCTTCTTTAACAATGAGCTTACAAAACATATCAGAGGGAGGGCCAGGCACTCTAGGTATGACATGAAAGCGTAGTCACTGAAAGGAGAACGGGAAACACAACCACAAACCTTCCTGAAAATTCTAACTAGTTCTTGACTCCATCTATGCTCCTGTGTCTATGAATAGTTTGGGATGAAACTTAGAAAATTGTGTTTCCCAAATAGCCAGTGTGTAGACCTTTCTCTTTGTCTCCATCTCCTCCTTCAATGTGTTGAAGAGACATTGCTACTCTTCCACATTTTGGGTTAGGTGGGTGTTTCAAGCTGACTGGACTCTCTGGGTAAATGGTTCCCGTGCCAGGCCCTCTGTTAAATCCCAATACAGGATGGAGGGAGAGAAAAATCTGCCTGTTGTACTCACTTCAAGGTCCTTGATGCTTTTTTGTATGATTTTCCTTCTATCTTGATTGCTACTCTTTATAAGAAATCACATCGATGACTTATCTAACTTTATACCACTCATTTATTTTGTATGTATGTATGTATGTAGCATGTTGTGTCTGTGGAGGTCGGAGGACAAATTGCAGGAGTTGATTCTTTCTGTATGTGTGTGTGTATGTATGTATGTATATAGCATGTTGTGTCTGTGGAGGTCGGAGAACAAATTGCAGGAGTTGATTCTTTCTGTATGTGTGTATGTATGTATGTATGTATGTATGTACATAGCATGTTGTGTCTGTGGCGGTCAGAGGACAACTTGCAGGAGTTGATTTTCTTTCTGCCACATGGATCCCCAGGACTGGACTCACGTCAGTTTTGGTGGTGAGACCTTTGTCCCCTGAGTGATGTCACCCGATGTTTCAGGTTATAGGGTTCATTTTTGCCAGTGACCCTTTTCACTGGTCATGTATCCAGACAAAACAAGCTAGCCTTGTCGATACCAGCTCTGATTCCCCTGTGGAGTCTGTGACTTTTTATTCCCACTAACTGAGCCAATTTCCCCATTGCCTCATCCCTGGGTCAGCAGTGTCTAGTCAAATACCTTCCCTTCCTTCGAGAAGGATGGATGGGGCAGATTTCCTATGACGTGTGTGTGTGTGTGTGTGTGTGTGTGTGTGTGTGTGTGTGTAAGAATATTGCAGAAAACAAGAGCAGTGCACAGCTTATATTACTCAAATAAATTTAATTATTTTCTATATATAATAGCCCAAAGCCCTGGATATTACATATAAAATAAACAGAAGACTCAGAAAGGGAGAGAGGGGAAGGCAATTGACTAGGGTCTTGGGACTTGAAGAAAAACCAATGGTCTGAAAGTTTCTTCTTGCCTCATACATATATCCTGGATCAGTACAGGAGGAGGCAGGGTTCTTTTAAAAAGGAAGAAATGCTTTCTTCAGTCAGAGGGCCAGAAAAAGGGCACTGTAGCTACACAGAGAATTTTTTTTTTGTTTTATGAGACAGGGTTTCTCTGTATTGTTTTTTGGAGGCTGTCGGTCCAGCCCGGCCTAGAACTCACAGAGATCTGCCTGCCTCTGCCTCCTGAGTGCTGGAATTAAAGGCGTGTGCCACCACCGCCTGGCCAGAGAATTCTTTTGGACAATAACTGCTTATTCCAGCCAAACACTGCAAGAAAAACAAAACAAGTGACTTTGCTTCCACCCATCAGCAGAGCTGAACTGAGAGACCAGATCCCTACACCTTCACCAGGTCCCTCCTGTTGGGGCAGTGTCAGAAACGACTAACCGGGGAGCCAGGATTTTACAACCTGGGTAAGAACAGAGTGGATGGCACAAAAACATGATCCAACCATTTACAAGGGCATCGTTCTGAATAATAAAAAAAGATCATCTCCAAAGGTTCCATACTGTCTGCTTTCATTTATGCACATTCTTGGAATGACAAAATTATAGAGTTGGAGTGTTTCCCAGGGTTTGGAGATAGTGGAAGGGAGTGACAATAAAAAGCTTTCTCAAGGGAGATCTTGTGGTGACTGACTAGTTCTGTGTCTTATTCGGGGAGCAGTCACGGGAATCCATATGCAGTTGCGTGCTCGCACACAGACACACACACAACCCTCATCAGCCTGCTGGTTCTGCTATTACACAAGTTATACCAGATGTAATGGAGCTAGGCAAGGACAGAGCACAATCACAATTCTCAGCTTACAGGAGTTTAGGGTTACCAGGCCTTTGACTGTCAAACGCAAAAACAGTGAATTAAGAAAACAACATTAAACAATAGTGCATGAAAGTTTTGTTCAGTGTAAATACTTGGGTCATTTGGCTTTTGGGGCTAGTCTGATTATTTCTCCTTCAGTGTATCTTAAACCCTTGTTTTTCATATTGGGTCTTGATAACTCACTAGGCTGGCCTTGAATTTGCCACCCTCCTGCTTCAGCCTGCATAGCTGGGTTTCAAGGCATGCAGCAACACGACCAGCTTCTAGTCCCCATCATTCGTCATTCCCATTCCTCCCCACCTGTGGGCGCTTGATACTCACTTCTGTATAACCAACGTCTTCTCCCTTTCCTCTCATCACTCGCTTAATTGCTCTTGGGCAGCATCCGCGTAACTTTTCCAGTTTTCTGATAAACACTGCTAAAGGTACTTGAAGGGAAGGTGAGTTTATTGAGAGGGATGGGTTGATTCTGGTCCACAGTTTGATAGCACAGTCTGCCGTGGCGGAGAAGGCATGGGTGCAGGAGGGTAGGCAGCTGGTCACACTGCATCCACAATCGGAAGCAGAGACAAACACTGATGTTCCATTCCTGTTTATTCAGTCGGGGACCTCAGCCCACAATCAAGGTGGACCTTCTCAACTCAGTCAATCCTCCCTGGAGACACTCCTACAGACACACCCAGATGGGTTATCTGTCTTTTAGGTGATTTTGAATCCTGTCAAGATTAATCACCCCACTCCCACATCTCTTCCTTAAACAGACACGTTACGGGAACCATTTTCTTGCTTTTTAGATAGTTGGGGACAAATGACTAGGTCTTATTTACAATGGAGGAAATCATAAAAATTCATTTAAAAATCCATCAAATAGAAACAAAAGACTTGGTCTACTTGATCTGTATTATCCAGTCCAAAGGCTGCTCCAGAGGCTCATACTGGTGTGATGAGGGGAATCTGAGTTCTAGGCAGTGTGAATGAGAAGTAATAGCAGAGAAAACACCAGAAAATACATGTGGATTATTCCTTACCTTGATTCCCTCGTCTGCTATTTCAAATAACCTGCTCTGTGCCCTTCCAGCTACTCCTTGGCAAATCCTGACACTAGTTCCTTCCTGCTCTTAAACTTGCCCCCTTGCTACCCTGCTCGATGGATAAAGTCAAGACACATTTCTTTTTTTTCTTTTTTTTTTGGTTTTTTCGAGACAGGGTTTCTCTGTGGCTTTGGAGGCTGTCCTGGAACTAGCTCTTGTAGACCAGGCTGGCCTCGAACTCACAGAGATCCGCCTGCCTCTGCCTCCCAAGTGCTGGGATTAAAGGCGTGCGCCACCAACGCCCGGCCTCAAGGCACATTTCTGAATGACCAGTAGGTAGACACTGAGGTGACAAGGGGGTAAATGTACTTGGTTAGGCAACCTGTGGAGCAAAGTGCATTTTATTACATCATACCATGCAAACAGTACAATTTCTACTTGGTTTTAGGCACTATTTTAATTGCAAATTAGTTCCTAAATATACAAAAGGTATTGTTATTTTAGGCTTCTTAGTGGAACACAAGAAATTTTTAAAACTTGTTTTATCGAGGCAATCTGACATAAATCCACTTGCCTCAAATGAACATTCAGTTATTTTTTGGTTCATTTTTCTACAGCATTATTCTGTTTAAGAAAATTTCTAACTTCATGGTCAGTCTTCATATTCCTACCTCCCCCCTTCCTTAAGCAACCGCCAATCACTATTGTTTTTTCTAGATGTTTTAAGTTGAATCATGTGTATGTGCTCGTTTGCATTAAGTCCCTTCTACTTAGCTTATTACCCTTATTTTGACACAGGGTCTCTCCTTTGGCCCATGTTGATCTCACACTAGCTAAATAACCAGGTTGGTCTAAACTCTTGCTCCGTCTGCCCTGTACATCCTAGTTCTGGTATTACAGGAATGAACCACTAATTACGCCCAGTTTTGGTTTACTGTTTTTGAAGCATCTAAGTGTAGGATTTTTTTTCTTTTTACAAGCACTTTGCTCCTTTGCATATACATTTTGTTGGTCCTTCCAGACATTCTTAGACATCTGGGCTGTTCTCTCTTGGCCATTATAAAAAAAAATACTCTTCAATTCTTCTGCGGGGAATATCTGTGTTAACTTTGAGAACCCAGGGAGCTTTTCCCAGGTGGCCACACTGTTTTATAGTTCCGTAACACATGAAGGTTGTAATCTGTTACCTCCTCACCAACAAACCATTCTTGTCTGGGTTTGTACTTTTTTAATTGCAGCCATCATAGTGGGTGTGAATCGCTTTCCTATTGTGGTTTTAATTTGCATTTCCTTAAGTGACTAATGATGCTGAACATTACTTGTAATCATCTTAATATTTCCTTTGATAAAATGTGTATTCTTTCACCCGCTTGTAACTGGGATATTAGCCTTCTTTACTGAGTTCGATGAGTTCTCTAACAATCTGAATACGAATTCTATATAAGACACATGGCTTGCAAATATTTTCTTCCAAGCTAAGTATATCTTTCTCTCTCTTTTTTGATATATTTTCTTTTAAAGACCACGTTTTATTCGAGATATACCCTCCCCCCCCCGTGGACCATTAACAAGCTAATGACTGAGCTGGTTTCAAAAATACTACATACATTAGTACTTTTTTAAAAAATGGCACCTTTTAGGCCATGCAGTGCGATGCCCCAGTCCATAATCCCAGTACTTCGGAGGTGGATTTGCTTTCCAACATAGCACTTGGCATATGTAGACAAGCAAAAGAAGATAGTATAACTGTAGAGATAATTTTTAGTGTTATTTTTGGACGAGCCGGAACCCTAACTGAAGGCTCAGCACAAGGTTTCACTCTTCATCTGTTGGTATTACAGATTTAAAAGACGAAAACGGGGCCGACAGCGACTCTGAGAGATTTTATCGCGCGGCTGCTTCTGCTCGTGGTTGGCAAGCGGCAGGATGCAGGCTTCTCAATGAGCTCTTGAGAAAACTGCAAAGGCGGGTAGTTGGTTGGTCGCACCTGGGTGATGACTGAGGCCCGGGGTTCGGTCTTGCACAGCGCAGGGGGGTCAGGCTTGGTTCTGAAATGAGCAGTGAGGTCTGCTTCACCAGGGAAACGGATGGATGGAAGGCAGCAGCAAGCATCCCCCTAGTCTGCAGGGAAAGGGGGGGGCGGTATTTTTTTTTCTGGTCCCCCGAGGTCCGGCGGCCTCTTCCGGCAGTGCGAGCCGGTGGCCTCCCCTCACCGCCCACCCTCGGTCGTGCATGCAGTCGCCGGCGCGGGGCTCGCCCGAACCACTCATCCCGCCACAGGTGGCTCCGCATCAGGCGTGGCCTTCTGCAGAGCCCGGGGCCTGAACGCGGCCACGGCGCCTTCGATCTCTGCCGCCCGCGACCGGCCGGCTCCCCGAGGCTCTACTTGCCGCCGCCGCCGTCTTTGTCCGGACACAGGTGGGCAACTACTCCCGCCCGAGGCCCCTTGCCGCGACACCCCGACCCCGCGCCTCGGGGCGGGCTAGGAAGCGCCGACCCGCCGGAACCAACCGCGGCCGGGGCCGGGGACGCAGCCGGCGGGCGGCCGAGGGGCGCCTGCCGCGGGGGGAGGGGTCGAGCATCCGGTGAGCGCGGCCCCCGCCTCCCCCGCGCAGCCGCACGGGCCTGCGAGGACTGCGCCCCGGCGGGCGGGCGGACGGACGGCCTTGGCGCGCGCGGCCCGCGCTGACGGAGACGCCGGGCGAGCGCCGGCCCTCGCGGCTGCATGAGGCTCGGCGGGAACTAGCGCGCCGAGCCCGAGCCCGAGCCCGCGAGGCCGGGCGCCGAGGCTGGGGTGGGAGGGTGGGGGGCGGGCACGGCGGAGGCGGAGGCGGAGCTCGTGCCGGGCCCGCCCGCCCGCCCGCGGGGGGCGCCGGCGGCAGAGGCCGAGGAGGCGGCGCGGCGGACGGCGGCCCGAGAGGAGCGCCCGCGCTGCGGCCCGCGGGAGCGCGCCGCCACCGCCCGCGCCGGCCTGAGGAGCGCCCGCCGCCGCCGCCGCCGCCGCCGCGCGGGCCGAGGTGAGTGAGGCAGCGGGCGGGCGGGCGAGTGCGCGGCGGGCCGGCCGGCCGGGGGCGCGGGAGCCGGGCGAGGCGGAGGCCCCAGCGCGTCCTCGGCCCTTTGTGGTCGCGCGGCCGGGACGCGGGGTCCGGCTGCGGCGGCGGCGGCGGGGACTCCCGGGCCGCCCGGCGCGCGGCGTCTCCCTCTGCCGGGCGGCGCACGGCTGCGAGTTGGCGTCCTAGTTTGACATTGAGTTAGAAACCGTTTTTTTTTTTTTTTCCCTTCAGAAGACGGAAGTTTGTTTTATTGACAGAGGTAGGGCTCAACATGGCTCCTGGCTCCGGCCGTGTGGGGCTTGGCGGCGGCGGCGGCACCGGCACCGGCACCGGGCGCACCCCTGCGGGTCCCGAGCGACGCGGGAGGGCGCCCAGGCCGGGCGGGCGGGACCCGGGTCTGCGCCTGGCCGGGAAGTAGCGGGCTCCGGGCAGTGGGAATGAATGGGGACGGAGGCCACTCACCCGCAGCACGATGCCGGGAGAGAGTGTGCAGGAATCGGGATGACTTGCATCGTCACCGCCTCCTGCCTCCTCAGCCCTGCCGAGAGGACCCCCGCCGACCCTCACCCCGCCCCCCCCACCGAATTGATGACCTTGGCCTTATTTCAGAGCCGCTGGGAACCCAACTCTTGGCATGTCTGGCCCGTGCGGGGCGGAAGGCAGTGTAGTCTTGGTGATCTTGAGTTGTTTCTGGAGGACAGATAGAGTGCCACCCAAACCCCACTTCGTGTTTCATGGGAAGTGGCATGTTTCCTAATGATCCTCCAGAAAGTAGGAGATCTTGCCCTCGTTTTTCATTGATGAAGACGAGGGCCCCAAGAAGTTAAAAGTTTTCAGGTCACACGCCAAGCTGCAGAGTTGAGAGTCAGACCTAGGCTTGAGGCTCTCTCCTTAGCATCTGTGTCTGGACTGGGACCAGGATCGTCCTTGGTGGTAACCATTGACCACATGTGGTTACTTAAATTTAAAAAGTTCAGCTCCTCACTCAGTGGCCACATTTCACGGATTAAAAAGCCAAGTGTGCTACCATTGAATAGTGCTAGTGTTGACCGTGTTTATCTGGTAAATATTTATTGAGGGCGGTGCGTTAAGTGTTAAGTCTTGGGAATACTGTGGTGAATAAAAAACCGAAGTGAACTCGCCTTTATGAAGCTTTCATTTTACAAGGTAGTTTGAAGATCTCCCATGGTACCTCAGAGCCCTGATACTTCTTTCAAATGTGGCTTATGGACTAGAAATATCTTCATTACCTGGGAAGTCTGAAAGAACTATTTCTGACACCCATCCATGTCTTCGTATCTGCCTTAACAGGAGTCCAGGTTGAGTGTGCTTTGAAAACCCGAGACACCATTACTCAAAAGTCAGTGATACCTGGTTGTAGAGAATGTTTCTTGTTTTGTGTGGTACCTGTTTCATTTTATTGTTCCTTTTAAAATGTGCATCCCTTGGAATTGGAGTTACAGCCCTCGTGAGCTGCCATGTGGGTGCCGGAATGGACCCTGGTTGTCTGGAAGGGCAGTCAACGCTCCTCAGCGGAGTCCTCGCTCGAGCTCCGTTTGTTTTAAGCAGCAGACTGTACAGCTTGTGGGAGTGCTCGTCATTTGTGCAGGCATTTAAGTGACTTCCTCAATGGAGTCTATAAACTTAATGAAAGCCCAGATTGTCATAACTTTCGTACATATCCATGTGTTCCTGTAGTCTTAACTGTCCTTGATAAGTAGTAGACACCCAATAGTTGTGTGCCGAGTAAATGAACGAGCTCTTGGATGGGTAAGACTTGTCACTCGAGCACTGAGAGGACCTGGTGAGATCAGATGAAAGTTTTTGTAGTTTTTCTTCTGGGAATCCTAGCTCCTTGGATGGAGTTTTGCTCCATGCATGATTTGCCAACCTTTCCTCTGTTTTTGTGTTGAGACAGGGTCTATAGCTCTGCCTTAAGCTGGCCTCTGCTCACAGACATCTTCCAGCCTCACCTTTCCAAAGGAAGGGATTATAAACATGAGCCAACCCTGTGTGTGTGTGTGTGTGTGTGTGTGTGTGTGTGTGTGTGTGTGTGTGTGTGTGTGTGTGTGTGTGTGTGTGTGTGTGTGTGTGTGTGTGTGTGTGTGTGTGTGTGTGTGGTTTGCTACAAGGTCTCACTATGCAGCCCCCTCGTTGATACAATGTATCTCATTGACCTCCAACTTGGTAATACACTTAGTTTAGCCCACCAAGTGGTTTTATGCCGCCTGTAGGTCTGCCCATCTCTTTAGTATATGAAGTTACATTAATAAATTCAGTTTATCACATGTTAGTGACTGTTGTGTTTTATTTGCATTCATGTGAACGGTGTTTTGTTTCTGTGTGTCTGTGCCCCAGCACAGTAGACACCAGAAGAGTTGGTAGGTCCCTGGACTGCCGTTACCATTTGGTGATAGAAATTGAGCCCGAGTACTCCAGAGAGAACTGCTGAGCCATCTCTAGCCCTCATAAGGAGATTTTTTAAAAGATAAATTTGAATTAACTTTAATTTTCCATTAATATCTCCCCTTGCTCCAGAATCTAATCTAAGATACTGCATTATATTTAAGCAGCATGTCTCCTAGTCTTTGGTATATGACATTTTTCTGAAGCCTGCCTTATTTTTTCGTAAGTTTGACCTGGGGGAGTGCTGGCTTTTTTTTCCTTCCTTCCTTCCTTCCTTCCTTCCTTCCTTCCTTCCTTCCTTCCTTCCTTTCTCTCTTTCTTTCTTTCTTTCTTTCTTTCTTTCTTTCTTTCTTTCTTTTTTCTGTTTTGTTTTCTTGAGACAGTTTGTTGCTTGGGCAGTTTCTGTCTCTTGGACTCAAGTATTCCTCTTGTCTCTGCCCAGGAATGCTGGGGCTAGAGGCAGGGACCACTGTACCCAGGCTTTTGTTATTTATTTATGGGTAACTTCCACAGACGAGATAGAATCATTCAACACCACAACAGAGGCAATAACATTGTTTCTACACTCATGTATGTACTATATACACTTCTTAAACTTGGGTAAAATAGAGGAAGGGAATGCAGCAGCTGTATAGGATGGGAGTAAGTACTAGATACTCACTGCATGTTCGTTTATTCAGTTGACGCTTGCTCTGGGTGGTTAATGTATGACAGACACACATGAGAAGACTCATGCTAACTAGAGAATAGGGCAGCATTAAACCATACAGATGAGTCTGGACTTAATGACCATAGCTTGCTGGCAACTAGTGTAGAGGATGGTGGAGAGCCTGGATGGTGTAAGGGATGAGGAGTGGGGGGGTGATCATTGCTTTTGGTTGGCTAGGTTGGTAGGGAAAGCTCTGAGAGGCTGTTGAATTGTATTTGGCTTCTGGGTATCCTCCCCAGTTACTCCCAGATGCCTTATCTATCTTATTATCTGACAGCACTCCCTTGTGCCTTTCTCCAGAGGCATCAGGCTTATTTCTGGCTGTGTACCTTTATATGGTTTCCTTTCTTCCAATATCACCCTTTTCCCGTGTCTGCTTGTGAAAGTGCTGCTGCTTGCTCAAGGAGTGGATCACATTGCCTGTCCATAATGAAGTCCTTCACTGTTGGTATGTGCTGTGAGCTCTACTTAGTGTGCTCGAGGGCAGGCATAGCCAGAGTGAAGGATTGATTGATGAACTGAGCTCTGAAGTGTTCACAGTCGGAACACTTACAATGAGTGACTTTTTGATTGAACTTTTAAATTTTAGTTTATGTGTATGGATGTTTTGCCTGTATGTAAGTCTTTGCTCTACTTGGGTGTCAGGTGCTCACAGAGGCCAGTAGGCTTGGATTCCCTAGGCCTGGAGTTACAGATGTTTGTGATCTGCCATGTGGGTGCTAGGAATCAAACCTAGGAAGAGCAGCCAGTGTTCTTAATTGAAAAGCCATCTCCAACCCCCTGAATAAAACTTCCTTTTATTTTTTATAAGATGGCTTTTTCTCTTCATAACCTGGTTGTTCTGGAATTCAATCTGTAGACCAGGCTGGCCTTGAACTCACAAAACTCCTGCATCTTTCTCCAAAAGCATGCTCCACTGCTGTAGCTAAATTAGACTTTTTTTATTAGATTAAATTAGATTACTGTAGGTCCACACGTAGTTCTAAGGAAGAATTCAGGAAGGTCCCTTGTATCCTTTATTCAATTATTCCTGTCTTGTAAACTATAGCATAGGTAGCCCAGGCTGGTCTCTAGTAGTGAAGGATAGCCTTGAATTCCTGATCCTTCTGCCTCCACTTCCTAAGTGTTTGGATTACAGGCATACATCATCATGCCCAATATGTCTTATGGTGTTTAATATGTTTGTCTCAGTCACTTTGAATATTTGAAGTGAGTTTCCAATAAATAGTATATAGTTACATCATGTTTTAAGATCTATTTAGCCAGGTGCCCTTTTCATTGATGTATTTAGGCCATTTTTATGTAATATAATTATTGCTGTATTAGGGGATACACCTGCCACTTGTCTTTGCTCCCTGGTTTTTCTTTTCCAGACTTGTGGATTACTTGAACATTTAAACTTTTTTTCTCACCTTTGTCTATACTGTTTTGGGGTATAATTCTTTTCCTTTTCATTTTTAAGAACTTTTCTTTTCAGGGTTAGGGTGGGATAGGATAGGAGCTAGGCGACTAAGTCTCACTCTGGAGCTCAGGCTGGCCTAGAACTCACTAAAGACCAAGCTGACCTTGACCATCCTTCTGCCTCTGTGTCCAGGGTGCTTGGCTCAGAACTTTTGTTATTGTGAAAAATTCCTTTCCTTTTCCTTTGTATGACAATATGATTCCCTTTCAGCTTTCTCTGGGTAGACATTTTTTATAATAGTAACGTTTTCTTCCAGTCCTTTAAAAACACTGCATTCCTTCTGGGCCTTGTGGTTTCAGGTAAGAAATTTTCTTCCATTCAAGTTGCTTTTTCTCTGTAGCTATGTCTTTTCTTTCATTCTCCTTTTGTTTCTATATTTTCTGATGA